CGCGGTGCGCAGGGAGTGGTCCGTGAACGCAGTCTCTATCCACGCTGGGGTCGCACGGCGTGGCAGGCGTGGCCTGACGCCAAGAGGGGTCTGCGCAGGAATCTGCTCCTGCACGCAGGGCGCCAGGGCGGTCGCGGGGACGTATCCAACGATTCAGTTTGCCCAGCCTCTTTTCTGCTTTCTACAGGCGCACTGCAGCGCTGGGGAAAACCATTTTTTTATCGTTTCCCGAAATACTGAGCAAATGCTCCAATTTTTCCCCATCTTGCAATCACTATTTCCAGAAGTATGGCGGTTCCTCATCAGTGCCTGCCGCCATCCCCACTGAAAGTCTTCCTAGAGCGCCAACAAGTTCTTCCAAGGTAAGTGGGCTTGTCTTAATGGGCAAGTCGTCTCCCAATTTGTTTTTCGAGGTAGGGGCAACATCTGGATTCGTAATCTTCCACTGCGTGTGTTCGAAAGAATCTGCCAGTACGTCCCCGCGCATGTTGCTGTCTACCAAAATGCCCTCAGGATGTGTGATTCAGTTTGGCCGTTTGGCGGCACCTTTTCTGGAGTTGCTGGACAGCATGCTATGCACTGTCCGCCCTGTACTTGTTCATCCAATCATGTTCGTTTGTCATTCTTGATCGCGGTGCGGACCATTTTTCCCACTATTTTTTCTTTTTCTATTTGTCTTGCCCGGCGCGCCACATCTCTTTTAGCTAATAAGCCCAATGTGTGATGCGATGTCCCAGGCCTGTGCGGTGCCTTCTTTGGGTCTCTTGTCACTCCGGACGCATTTTGCATCGAGATTTTGATGCGATCGGCATGTCCATCTAAATCTTCTGGCGTTTCTTCCGCGCGCATTGCCCCGCAGAAGGCGTCGCAATAGTGCTCTGCCAGAACGTAGTCGTGGCGAAGACATTGTCCCCGATCAATGTAAGTTGTATGCTTATCCCGCCTGGTGTCCAGGGAAATGGAAGACCAAACTTGAAGTAGAAAGCGTCGAGATGCCAGTGGTACGTCCCGCCTTGAACACATGTATGTGATGTTGTCCAAAAGCACGGCGTCCACAAGGCAGTGGTCAATGTGTGGAAAACCTGGAGCGTGTGCTTCGTGCTGGAGGTCGTCATGCGGACCATAATATGTCACCATTTTGTTGCTGCCATGGTCGAAGAAAGTATTAGCAATCGCGGTGCTTGTCGCCCGGCATGCCTCTATGAGGAAGTCGTTGTTGAGCTCTTTCCTATTTTTGGGCCATTGGCATTCGAATACGTTACGTATTGACCCAATATGTTTTCTTCTCCACGTTGTTAGCAGAAAAGCTTCGCGTTGAAGTCGCCCGATAGTGCACGAATGTTGACCTTGCTTTGGCCACGCTGCGCTCAAGAGGTCGAAAAATGCCCGCCGAACGTCAGCATCATGTCCAGAATGCGGATCGTACGCACTGAGAAGATTGAGCACACGTCCCGGCACCTGCAGTCGCTGAGAGGCGAGCCTGTCCGTGACGAACCTGAAAATAAACACGCTTGATGCTGCAGAGGGGGCAACAACAAAACTAACTCCAGAATAGAATCGCCCAGCTGCTTTTGTGTTCGCCCCAGAGACAATAACCAGATAGCCACTTTCGTGATATGCTTCCGACGTTCGTACTCCTGTCTCCTGCACTCAAATAACAACAATATTGTGTTGCTCCATGTGGTGTATAACTTCAATCAGTTTCGCACGCTCCTGCCCAAAACCCTCGACGTTCCAAGTTGCAAAGCAGGCGTTCTCAGCGGACGGCAGAGGCGCTTGGGCCGTCCCAAAATTTGTTTCCTTCTGCCGGAAGCAATGCTTGGGGATATCGGCAGCTGGTCCGGAATCGGTACCTTTGTCAAGTTCCGTATGCCCGGTGTGCCGAGGCGCATGCCCAAGCAGATGCTCAGGTAAATGTTGAGGTGCATGTAAACAAGACTGGGTGGTATCGCTGCCCATCCGCGTCGGTACAGCATGCTGAAATAGTGTGATGCCGTCGGTCACGTTGGCCCCGGTAACGGTATCTTTGCCCGTGCCGGGTGGATCGCGTGGAGGGTTGGTGCCTGCATCCCCATCCATGTCTGACCGCACACGCCCAAGTTGTAGCGGAAGCGAAACATGGCCGGGTAATTGTTTTGGGATTGGATGTGTTGCGGCATCGGTCCCGTGGCCGGCCAAACCGGGTGCCGCTTGTATTTCCCATTCGCTTGTCGTCCCTTTGGATTGCCCTTTCGCCTCTCCTTTCATTCCTGCCTGGGAGCGGCGGACTAGGGAGTCGCATTGTGCAAGATGGTTTGAAGTTCATGCCAATTCTTCCACTACTCTTCCCACTCCTGGTTGACACCTTCAGGGCCCACATGCACGCTAAGTGCCAACTGCCCTCCGACATGTACTTGTTGGTATGTTGAATTGTCGGAGACTTGAATGATATGCTCGTTCTGCATAACGTCCTTGAGTAAATATTTCACTCCGAATCCGAAATTGCGGGCAGCTCTTTCGGAAGGTTCCCGGTCTTGGCATGCCCATACTGTGTTAGAACCTCGTTGTAAACGTTGGCTCCGAAAAAGTGCAACGTCTGTGTCTCGATCCAATGTGTCGCTGAATTCTAGAAACAGGATGTTGCCAAGTACATCTTTCGAGTACATGTTCATTGGAATAGGGCCGTTCATCTTCGACAGTTGCTCTCGGATGTACGCGAACGCGGCGGTCTCGGAGTCGAAGTCGTTCAGGTTACCAACGACTGCCGTCACTGCACATTTCCCGTGCTCGTGGTACACGTTGACGTGGTTGGTGTGCTTTTGTTGTCCTTGTAGTCGTAAGTCCGCAACTTGACGTTGAAGGTCTTGCAATGCGTTCTCCATTTCAGCCGTGAGGGACGCGCCGGGTGCTGAACGAGGCGTAGCATGCATAGCCATCTCTTCTTCGATAATGCCCATCCGCTTGTCCATCGAAGTTTTCCAGGTTCATAATCCAGATGGCCATGTCCTCCATGTCGGTATTCACTTCTGTCTGTAGTGCTTTAAGGTCACGCCCGAAGGTCCAGACAGCGCGCATTGTAGGGTTCAGATGCTTTTTTGAACATGTTCTGGATAGACTTCATGGTAACTGGTTCGTCTTCATCGTCGTTGTCGTCCATGTCGAATTCGTCAGAGAGAGCCTGCTCCAGGTTGAACGTCACCTTCATTATGTTGATGCTGCCCTGCCGCGTTGTAGTCCACCGGTGCTGTCGGACTTGCAAGTCGCGCCTGCTTCAAGGCGCTCTTCGGCGGTGGCGTTGCTAAAGCGTATTCGTCAGGTCGTTCGGGTCGTTTAGGCTTTGCTCGATCAGCTTGTGTCTGGCACAGTTGCCTGACAGGGGTACCTGGCATGCGCGATTCACCACCTGCACTCGAAGAAGCCATCGCAGCCCACAGAGGTGGTGTAAGGGTAGATGGAATCGTGTAAGAGTATGATGGGAGCTAGGAAGTAAGAGTATGAGCGGGCTGGAGAACACTTGATAACTTGAGCCAAAATCTTGAGCCAAAATGGCTACGAATCTTGAGCCCAAATCTGGAGCTAATCTTGAGCCACAATCATGAGCCAAAATCTTGAGCCAAATGATTTCAAAATCGAGAGTCACGAAACATGGTTTCTCAACAAGGGTTTTCAAACAAATCCTGCGCCCGCGCTCTTGCGATTTCTTTTGAAAGCCACAGGCTTTTCAATATTTGCATAACATGCTACCATCCGGGCCTCTCGCGCGCGCGTGTCGAAATCGCTCGAACGACCTTGCCCGCCTGCTGTCGCAACAATCTCCTGCAACAAACGGGACGACGAGCACACGCGCGTGTCGTCGCGCGCTCATGCCGAACTCTTTCAAAGCACATGGTTTGGCAACATCATTTTCCCCAAAAAGCTTGCGCTCGCGGTTTAGCGGATTCTTAAGGACTCCGTTGGTTCTTCAATATTTTCATAAAGTTCTGCCAAACGGGCTTCCCACACCGAATGTCGAACTCATTCGAACGCCTTTGCGCGCGTGTTGGGAGGAGGGCACGGTCCGTGTCAAATGATACCACGCGGGCCATTCGCGCGGCCGACGCGCGCGCATGTCGAACTCTTTCAAAAAGGTGCCTCGCCGACGAGAGGACATCGTCATCGTTACTGGCGGGTTTGATCAACATCGGCGCCGTCATTGGCCTTGCCGTCGTCATCGCCACCATCGTCACCATCATCGCTACTCTCATAATCGTGTCTACCGTTGTCGGCGTTGCAATGATACCGCGCCCTCCCAAGTCACCGACTCGCACTGAAGTGCCCGCTGGGAAGTGCCTTGCGGTCAGCGCCACCGCGGCCGCGTCGGTCCCGCCAAACTAGCTGGCCGCTGTGCGCACGAGCAAGCGCGGGCTAGCGCGGCCGCGGGGATGCACCAGCCAACGCCAAGCACTCATCGCAATCGCCGCCGCATGGGTTGTGCAAACCAAGTTGCGGGTGGTTGGGTGGGTGGGTGCGATGTTTGCAAGAGCGTGGAAGTGGTCAGCTCGTTTGTAAACATCAATTGTACCCCGTAGGTTGCACCACATGGATAGCAACTCGTGAGTGGTACCATACACAGATTGCACCAGACACGTAGCACACTGAAGGTGCGTGAACCAACGGATTGGGAATTCACGCTAGCAAGCATCGCTATGGGGAAATGTGTGTGGGTGTGTGTATGTGTGTGCCTTGCTCCGGCAGGTCGCTGCGCGCGAGGCCGCGATTGCCAAATCGTGTGTGTGTGTGTGTGTGTTTGTGTGCGTGCGTGCGTGCGTGCGTGCGTGCGTGCGTGTGTGTGTGTGTGTGTGTGTGTGTGTGTGTGTGTGTGTGTCGTGCGGCCGTTTTTCGCGGGCCGCTCATGTTCGCGACGGGGTCGTTTTGAATTTGTCGGCATGGGTGCTTTCGCCTTGGAATATCCAGCGGGAGTAACCCGTGTTGTTTCCCGTCTCCTTGTGATTCACATGTTTTCTTCTCATTGGCTGGCGCAGATTCGCATCAACTGCAGGAACAATGTGGACTTGGTGCCCGTTTTGTCTTGGCGAAGGGATTGGCGGTGGAATGCGAACATGGAGGGTGTCGGTGAAGCGGGATATGAGAACACAGGGGCATTTAACGAGATGGAGTATAATGTTGTGTCTTGTCTGGTGGGCAAGCGCACGCTTTGTTCTTCCCAGATCCACAACCCACTTGTTTTGCTGCTCGTGTGATGTATTCGCCACTCTCCCCACCGCCGTTTTCTCAGGTATTCAGACTGACTCATACTCATACCCACTTGTGGTGCTCGGGCTTATTCGCACTTGTAGCATAATCACCCCCGCGCAGACGAAATCACATTCACCTTCGCCCACACTCATCTTATTTTATTTCGTACTCGGACTCGCTCGTATCCAATCGCGGTCATATACATAGTTACTCGGCATCTGGCTTATTCACATGAAGATTCTCTGTACCGCACAACTTAGACGCACCCATACTCAGACTCACTCGTGCCCAGGCACATCGGATTCAGGGGTGATCCACGGGCCCTGGGGGTCGAACAGGGATGTTGCATGGGCCCATTGGCGCCCAGATTGGCTTCCCCAGTAGGACGCCCGTTTTGGCAAGTTGGCGCCCCGTTTTGAGATCCTCGGACCACCGCGATGTAGCTGGACTTCCCAAGACTGGGCACCAGTGGGTGTGACGCAGGCCCGTTCGCGCCCAGATTGGTAGGGCCTCTCGGGCAGAACGCCCGCATAGCCAGCATCACATTGGGGCCTCTTGGAGGCCGTTAGCGACCATATCGGATATCGGTAGGACTTGTCTTTTGAGTGCACGCGTATTTCTTCGGGGCCCCAAGATCACCGCAGGCATCATGATCGGGCCTCCCAAGGGGTGGCACCAAGGGGTGTGTCACGGGCCCGATCGCGCCCAGTTAGTTGGAACCTTCTAGAGTAGGTTTTTGGTTTTGAGGGGTAGACGAGCCTCTCTCCCACTATGTCTCCCTGTGTCTCTCTTCTCTCTCTATATATATGTATATATCCGTCCTCTCTCTCTTTCTCTCCTTGTCTCAATGTGTTTGTTGTTCCCCCTCTCTCTATCTCTCTCTCTCTCTCTCGCTGGATGGACCCCAAGAGCATGTATCCCGTTGGTTCGACATTCTGGAATGCTGAACCTTGGCGCAATTTCAAGAAAGACAATGGTTTACAATGTCCCTGGCATACAGGCCTCATTTTATCTATCCCATCAAGGTTTCACTATTCTTGAACGGTAATAGCGGAGAAGAGGGGGAGGGTTCAGACAACCGTTTTCCAGAAGACTATGGGCACAGTTTAAATTGTTTTGGGCGGGTCCTGTCCGTCTTTGTCTCTGACAATTGGACCTGAGCTCATAATTGGGGAATGATCGATCGCACTCCTTCATTTTACGAGTACGGTGGTTTTCTTCTTAACCCTGGGTTCTCCACCATCCCCCCAAGGTGACCCCATCTTCAAACATGCAAGCCCAATTAGGGCCCTGTGGTTTTGTGAGATTTATTATGAATTACATGTATATGATAATGTACATCTTGATGGGTATCTTGGTGTCATGTTTTGTTGACGAAGACCTTCAATGCTGGCGAAGGGCTTCTTATAAGTTCCCTGTTACAGGGGCGCGTGCAACATTCAATATAGTGAATACGCAACTGCACACTTAAACCACACATAAACGCATACACTTGAAAGCACCAATCAACCTACAACAAATCCACATTTGAAGTTTATTCTGGCGAATGACTCAACCAGATGCAACTGTCAGTACCTCAAGACAGGTGTGACGAAGGAGGGGGGAGCTCCTTGTGTTGCCACGGGACGTGTGACGGGTACGCCGACACGAGCGGGGGGGAGCAAATGTGGACATTGCCGCGAGGCCTTCGGTGGAGCTCCCTAGGGACAGGCCACGAAACGTGCGACGGGCGTGCCGAAATGGGTCGGGGGAACCCGCGCAGAACAACGCTGGGATGGACCACGCGGAAGGACCCCAGCGCCCCCCCCCGAGGCGGATAACTTTACCTCAGGGCACATATGCGCCAGCAGCGCCATCCGCCTGGGAGAGGATCCGCACATGGTAGGCGAGGGGTCGCGGACAGCGCCCGAAAGGCCAGCGCCGTCGCCTGGACCCGCTGGGCTGGCCAGTGCTGCTGCGCATGCACCCCCACGGCCCAGCGCTTCCTGCCGCTGGGCAAATCCCCCGCCCACCCGGTAACGACGGCCAAAGGCCTCTGTGCCACGCTCGCCGCTAAGCGGCGTGCTTGTCCTTGGGTGGGTTGCGCCGGCTCCCGATCATGGTGCTTCCGGCGCGCGGCAGACACGCGGCCGCCGGAGGAGGAGGAGGAGGAGGAGGAGGAGGAGGAGGAGGAGGAGGAGGAGGAGGAGGAGGAGGAGAAGGAGGAGGAGGAGGAGGAGGGGGAGGAGGGGGAGGGGGAGGAGGAGGGAGGAGGCGGAGGAGGCGGAGGAGGAGGGGAGGTCGGAGGGAGGAGGAGGAGGCATGGGCAGCGGGCAGGGAAGACGAGCCTGCCTGAGGCAGGGGAGGCGGCCGCGCGCGTACCCCGGAGGTGCACCCCGAGGCGCACGGGATGATAGGCGCTCGCTGCCCCCTCCCGCCCCTCCTCCTCCTCCTCCTCCTCCTCTCCTCCTCCTCCTCCTCCTCCTCCTCTCCTCCTCCATCCTCCCTCCCCTCCTTCCTCCTCCTCCATCCTCCTCCGCTCCTCCTCCTCCTCCTCCTCCTCCTTGTCCTTCTTGTCCTCCTCCTCGTCCTCCTCCTCTCGTCCTCCTCCTCCTCCTCCTCCTCCTCCTCCTCCTCCTCCTCCTCCTCCTCCTCCCCCTCCCCTCCCGCCCCCCCCACCCCCTTCAGAGCTTGCTTCGATCTCTCCGATTCGAGTCGATTCGATCTCGACGGCCTCCGCTTCTGATTCGGTTCGGCTTCGGATTCCGATCCGGGCTCCGTGTTCTCCATGGAGGCCTACTGGCCTGCCGATGTCCGCCGATTCGACTTCTCCCGACTCCGCTGCCGATTTCTGCCGATTCGATTCATTTCGATCGCCGATCTGGCTTATCGATTCGATTAGGGTCTCTCGTGTCCTTCTTTTCTTCGATCATGAACGATGGATGTGTCCATACAGACGCGCTCGCGTCTTGGATTCAGGGACGCGATCCCGTGGATGCGCGGTCGCATGAATGGATGCGTTCCGCGCGGGGCATCCGCCAACAAAAGCGCCCCGTACCCATGAGGGTGTGTCCCAGGGGCCCAGATGCGAGGACATGCGGGTATGGTTTCCGCCCGCGGCCCTATTCTACTGCAAATGTCGTTCCGAGAGGTCCTCGTCTGCAGGGGGTCGAGGGGGTGACCTCTCGCCCTCGGCGGATGTCAGCACAGGGCCCACAAAGCACGGCAGAGGGAGAGCGAGGGCGGCTCTGCCAGTGGAAGGCCGCGGGGACTCGGCGGAGGGCGGCGGTCGGTACAAAGACCGACAGCAATCCTTGGCCATTTTGACTAGAGCTCGCTGTCGGCGTCGCCCGCACGTTGACCACTTGAGACTGAAAAGTAGCTTGTCTACCAGCAGCCGTTGTCGGTTTGGGACAAGGCTTTTTCAGAAGGCTGCGCGGGCGTCGCAGAAGGCTGGAGGCCTTCTCAACCTTGTGGAGAAGGCTCACCCCCTCTTCGTTTCCTTCCCTGGGCTCGCCGCCGAGAAGACAAGAAGCTCTCGTGTGAAGTCCAGTCGTTGGATTGCCGCCTGCGGGAGGCCTTCGTTGCCGAGTCCGCGGCCAGGCTCTGCCTGAAGAGGACGAACAAAAACACATAACCATAAACTTTTGGTGTGGAGCGCCAATAGTTGATGTTTATGGGGTTTTCTCTTCTTCTACCTTCGTCGCCGAGGCCGCGGCCAATCTCGGCCTGAAAAGCTGACCTGGGCCGTGCCTGGCGCCGAGGTCGTGGGCAGCTCTCGCCTTGGCCCGCTGGCTCGCCACCCAGGCGGCCCCGCGAGAGGAGGCGGAGGAGGGGGAGGGGGAGGGGGAGGGGGAGGGGGAGGAAGAGGAGGAGGAGGAGGAGGAGGAGGAGGAGGAGGAGGAGGACCAGTGCAAACCCAAGAATCATCAACGATGTTGGCATGAACCCTCCCTCCAAGCTTCCTCTTCATAGGCCCTCACAAAGGTTTCTTTCCATTGAGGGAACTGTCTCGTTGGAAGACAATCATTTGACGACCTTGAAGCATGCCAAAACATTGTTTTCGGGATTTCCACGCCACGAATCAACCTGACTGCTGCGTCCGGACGATCTGGAATCGTGCCAGAACGCACCTGTTGGGACAACAACACCGCTAAAACATATAACTGTTGCACTCCCATTATCCTGAATCTTTCCAAACACAATTTCTGGTACGTTGTTCATGGTCAATCCGTGAACCTCTTGCAAGTGTTTAGAACGGATTCGCGCGGGGCTAAGGTGAGAGCCACATTTTGAAAACGACCTGCCCTCCACCCGTGAAACTCTTGCACATGTTTCTAAACGAATGTGCGCTGCGCCAAGGCGACAGCCACATTTTGAAAACGACCCGCCCTCCACCCGTGAAACTCTTGCACATGTTTGAAACGACTGTGCGCGGCGCTAAGGTGAGAGCCATATCTTGAAAACGACCCGCCCTCCACCCGTGCAACTCTTGCACATGTTTGAAACGAAAGTGCATGGAGCTACGGCGAGAGCCACATTTTGGAAACGAACCGTTCTCCACCCGTGCAACTCTTGCACATTTTTGAAACGAAAGTGCGCGGCGCTAAGGCGAGAGCCTCATATTGAAAACGAACAGCCCTCAATCCGTGAATCTCTTGCAAATCTGAAAAACAAAAACATAATGTGCGCGGCGCTAGGCGAGAGCCACACTTTGAAAACCACCCGCCCTCCATCCGCGAAGCTGTTGCCATTTTGTAAGCTATACACGGTGAGGAAGTCTCAGGCGAAACGTCTGTGCCGCCCAAAAAATTGCCCTCGGGGTGCGACAGGGAGACAGTTCTTCTAAGGAAAAGGAATGGAGTACAAGGAGGAGGATGAGGAGGAGGAGGAGGAGGAGGAGGAGGAGGACCAGGACCAGGAGAAGGAGGAGAAGGAGGAGGAGGCGGCGGAGGAGGAGGAGGAGGAGGCGGAGTCGGAGGAGGACGAAAGGGTGAAGGAGGAGAAGGAAGGAGGAGGAGGAGGCGGAGGAGGAGGAGGAGGGGAAGTCGGAGGTGGTCAGCTTGCTTGCCAGACGCGCAAGATGCTCCATCGATCGGGGGGGGGGGCCGCTGCATCGGAAGAGGCCTCTCGCGCTCGGGTGCTAGCCACGGCACGCCCCTTACACGCTGTGTGGTCCCGTAGGGAGCTCCACCGAATTTCCCAGAGGCGCAGCTCGCACGCGTCCCTGCCATTCGGTCCGGCAAACCCCTCACACGTCTCATGGCCCCAAAGGGAGCTCCACCGAAGGCCCCACTGGTAGTGTTCGCATGCGCTCCCGCCACCCATTTTCGGCAAACCCCTCGCACATGGCTGGCCCCATATGGAGTTCTACGGAATGTCCCAGTGGGGCAGTTCGCTTTCGATCCCGCCACCCATTTCGGCACACGCCTCACACGCTTTGTGGCCCCACATGGGAGCTCCACCGAAGGTCCCAGTGGCGCAGTTCGCATGCGCCCCCGCCACCCGATTCGGCACCTCTCTCCAGCGCTTCGTGGCCCCACGCGGAGCTCCACCGGAAGGCCTCAGCGGTGCAGCCCGCAGGCTTCCCCGCCACCCCTGTCGGCGCACCCGTGTCGGCAAGGACAGCGAGGGACGGAGAGTTCAACGCACCACGGCGTGGCCCAGGGCTCGGGCCACTGCGGGCCAGTTGGGCAGGAGCGCAGCGCGCAGCGCGCAGCGCGCAGCGCGCAGCGAAAAACAGTGGTGACGGGCGTGTTTTCCACCACCACCATAGGAGGGGGGGAGGAGGAGGACGCGGAGGAGGAGGAGGAGGACGAGGAGGAGGAGGAGGAGGAGGAGGAAGAGGAGGACCTCCTTCCCCTCCAACTCATGGTGGTGGTGGTGGTGGTGGTGGAAAACAGGCCCATCAAGTGGGGGGGTTGAACAGTGCTGGGGAAGGCAGTGGGCACGAAGCGGCGGCGCACCAGCGGCGCACGGGGCCCCGGTGGCAGAGCCTGCGTGGCGGCCCCGCCGCATGCCGGCACACCCCTCACGAATTTCCTCCGGGTGTTGCTGGAAGTACCCCTGGCCCAAGGTACCCCCAGGATTCTCGGGGTACCCCAGACGGCCTCCAGGGCACCCCTCACGAGGCCCAGAGGGCCCCAGGGGCTCCCGAAAGGAGCGGAAAGCTGGGGGCACCTTGGGCGAGGGGCACTTCTAGCAGCGCCCGAGCAGGGGGCTCTACCTGCGGCCCCGTGGGCAGCGCCCGCACGGCGGCCCCGCCTCGTCTCGGCACACCCCTCGCGCACTTCGCGGCCCCAGGAAGAGGTCCACCGAGGGCGATCCTCACAACGACGGCAACCACAGCTCCATGGGGTTGGGTCTTTCGCCGGGCTGACTTCTCACGGCGCCAGACCTCTTTGGGGTCCCCCTGGCTTTCCGCGAGGTGCTCTGTGCAACCACGACGCTCTGCTGTTGCTCGAGGGCGTGGAGGGCTTCAGGTGGCGCTGGTCGCGGGGGTGCGGGGGAGATGGGCGGGACGAGGAGGAGGAGAGGAGGACGAGGAGGAGGACGAGGTTGACCAGTGTAAACCCAAGACTCATAAACGATATTGCAATAAACCCTCCCTCCAAGTTCCGTCTTCACAGGCCCCTGCAAGGATTCGGCTTCACAGGATGCGCCCCGTTGGAAAACAATTGCTTGAAAATCCAGAATTGCGCCAGAACGCGATTCCTGGGATTTCAACGCCGCGAACCACCATTACAGTTACGTTTTGACGATCCTGAATGCAGCAACAAAAACATTCTTGGGACTTCAACACCGCGAATCAACGTGACTGTTACGCCCTGACATTCCGACAGCGTGTCAAAACATTATTTCTGCGACGCTAGCATTGAGAATCCTTGACACCGCTGCAAACCCTGAGAACGAATGTACGCGGCGCTGGGGCGAACGTCACATTTTGAAAAAGAATCGCCCTCCACCCGTGAAATTCTTGCAGCCTTTTAAGACGAATGCGTGCGGAGCTAAGGCGAGCGCCACACTTTGAAAACCACCCGCCCTCCATCCGTGAAACTATTGTAAACTGTACGTGCGTTTCGGGATTCTACATGGTAGGGAAGTCTCAGGCGAAGCGCCAAGACCGCCCTTTCGACTGGCCTCTGGGTGCGACAGGGATGCGTTATTTATGGCGAAGAGGAATGGAGGAGTAAGGAGGAGGCGGCGGAGGAGGCGGAGGAGGAGGAGGAGGAGGAGGGGGAAGAGGAGGACGAGGACGAGGAGGAACAGGAGGAGGAGGAGGACCAGCGCGCAGACTGAAGAAGGATGGGTTCGGGCGGTCCTGGGCGAATCCGCTGCCCCTCTGGGGGGCGATCGCGGCAAGAGAGACAGGGACGGCCTCGGAGACATGCAGACGGCACTTGTCTTGAGAAAGAAAGATCCAGGATCCAGGCTGACAGCTCCCCGCTCGGTTTACCAATCTCGAGGTCGGTGGGGGCTGACTCAGCTAGTTTTTTGGCCAGCTGGTCCAACGGGATCGGAGCTTTCAAAGTAATCAGAGGGTTGGCGGCCTCCATGGGATGTCTACCCTCCATAGCACTCTGCTTCTGAAGCCTTCTGCCATGGTTCGGGGGCTCGCCAGGGCACTCGCCTTGGAATCCTCTTGTGCCTTCAGTGAACGTGCCGCACTTCCAGCACAAGATCGCACTGAAAGGGGTGAACTCGTCAGCATAACCGAAAAGTATGGCAAGTGTCCTCTGGGATTGTACACTAAATCAGAATGGCTCTGGCAAAACCAGGGCAACTCTCTCGGGCTCGTCGCTGCATGGCAGATTGACTGCCGCATCGTTGTCTACAAGCAGCGCACATGAAACACTTCCCCCAGGGGTGTCATTGGTGCTTTCTCGGTCCGTCCGCGGTGGAGGCAGGGGGAGGGCTCACAGGCAAGGGCGGGGGGGGGAAGGTCCCAAGCGGGGCCAGCAGCAGCCGCCCCGGCAGGCGGGTTCAAACTCTGGATTGGTTTGTCGAAAGCCTTGGCACCTGTCTTGGGGGCGACCGATGGCCACGGCTGAAGGGCCTCTGAAACATGTCTAATATACTTGGCTAGCATATGATTCTGCTGCTGCTGGGCTTCGATTTCATTCTGGCTTGGTTGCAGGGCTCGGGCAGCAGCGACCTTAGCAAGTTGGCCGGCCGCCTCGTTGCCTTTCGCCCTTCTCCAATCGAGAGTGGCAGGCTGGAGCTCCGAAATATTGACGTGCGCTTTGATCTCGTTAAACCGCGGCCCCAGGGGGGTTGGGCAAGCGCTGCCCAGGACTTTGGAGGCCCCGTGGAAATCGGTCCTGGCAAAATCAGCCTTCTTAGGCACGTCTATGGCTCTTTGGTAATCAACATGCATCCTGGCGCGTGGGTGGGCGTTGAGGCCAGCAGCAAGCACGGCGCAGTGCTCAGCAGCGGGGGTGGAGGAGGGGGGGATGTCTGCCCGCGCGCCCGATGAGGTAGGCAAAAACTTCTCCGTGCCCGTCGATCGATGACCGACCAGCCCGCTGCGCTATAAGCTTTATGGCCCCCCGGTTTCAAGCAGGATCCGTCCGTGAAATTTTCCTTTGCCAGGGCCTCCTCAGGCCTGCGACTGGGGTCTCTGCGCCAGAACCCGGCATGTTCGAACCCAAACCCCTCAGGAGCCCCATTGTCGAATTCTGGTTGGAATTGATACCCATATGCTAAAGCCGGATCAGACACCCTCGAAATCGTGTCAAGCTCGTCTGTCGTGAAAGGTTCCCTAAGGGCGGCGCTGAGAGGGCATTGCAGGGTGCGGCGCTTTACATCATCTCTAGCATGTCCGTGCTGGCATCGGCCATCTGTATCGTGTCCTGCATTCTGCAGGCGCGCGTTAGTCCAGATGCGTCGGGTGGGAAACCTAATCGGGGTGGACCTGGCTTTCTCGGGTAAGGTTGGCGCCGCCAGTGTTCTCCCAGCTATGTCCACATTATGGGTCTCCTGGGGTTGTCCTAGCTTCTGGGCTGCCTTCCTGAGGGCGGCCTGTTCCCAGGCCTCCTGCGTCTTCTGCGAAACCAGCCTGGGCGTGCAGAGTGCGAGCGGCAGACGGGCCCCGCATGCATCCTGCAGCTCAAAAAACAGCAGAGGAACTCCAGCCGATTCGGCGCAGGGAACGCCATGCAGCCCGAAAGGGGCTTCTTTCGGCAGCCCATTTGGAGGGATGGGGTCAGGGGGGTGGACTCAGCGAGGGCCTTCAGCTCTAGGAGTTCCCGAGGATGACTCGGACGTGTCGCTGCGCGCCGAACAATAGTAGCCCGCGTCAAGGCGGGCCCGAGCCCCGCTCTCCGCGTTGGGTCTCCTAGCGCCGCCAGACTCAGAGATCGACTGCGTGTTGCGCAACGGGGGCCCGCCACCTTGAGGTGCCCATTCTGGAGGTTCTCGAGCTCTTGGGGGTCCACGCCAGCCGCTTCCGTGCCATGCGTAAGGGCCTGCTGAAGTCCCGTCTTCCTGAGTTTGCGTGTGCCCCCTTCCCGCAATCTTTCTAGACCATATTCGGTGTCTTGTATTTTTTGTTTCTAACAAAAGGTTTGTAAAGGGTGGCCTCGGCGGGTCTTCTCTTGGCTCTACGACGCGGGGCCCCCGCGGAGCTACCTATTCCCAAATTGGTGGCCGCGCGCGCATCGGTCGGGCCAGCGCATTTCCCAAGGGCCTTCCGAAGGAGTCCACGCAGCCTGGCTGTGGAAGCTATGGCCTGGGCCTCGTGCTGTGCGAGCTTGCAGCCTAACTCGTTTTGCACAAGGATTGCGAGCCTAGCCGCGGAGTGTTGCAGCTGTCGGGCTACGGCTTGCCGGCCGTAATGTTGTTGTCCCAGGAATAGGTCGTCAATCAACATCTGCGGGTCGGTTCCCTGGGGATTTTGGAGGGTCCAGGCGCCCAGGGGGCCCAGATTGTAAATTTGAATTAAAAAGGTAGCCCCTCCACAACCAGCTGCGATGCCTCGGGTAGGGCGGTCCACAAGTTGGACCAGGTCTCGGGAAGCAACAAGTCTCGTGCTGCTGTGCTGGCTTAAAATGACCGTCAGGAGGGTGCCGCTAAAACCTATGTCGTGGGCCCTCCCTATCAGCTTCCGGCGGTTAATGTGCTCGCAATCGTTCCTGAGGTCCCAAAACGCAGCTCCTGAGTGAAGCGGCTCTCGGCAGATCACTCCGTGCTCCGCCTTGAGACCCTGGCAGAAAAAAACTTCGGCGTCGCCTCCCATCGTCGTGCTTCTCTTTGTCGGACCTTGGACCAAATTCTGCGCATCCCTGGCGTCGTCCCAATGCCTCGAAACTGGGCAGTAGTTTGTTGGGCATTTTTAATTCTTGTCTTGGGGATCAGGACCGAGACAATCGCTTGCAACTGGGTGGGCATAGCACCTATCTTCTCGACGATGTGCAGAACGCGACAGACTAGGCCAGCTTGTCCCAGCGACAGGCTCTGGAAATGCCCGGGATGAAATCCGTCCCAAGTCGAGGCCGTGACATGTGAGTACCTGGGGCTCGATGGGGGAGAGATGGGGCTCCAGTGGCCCTGGGGGAACATGGTTTTGAGGCCTTTCGACCGGGGTGTACCAAAGGTCGCTGAGTCGCTCAGATTCGAACTCGAGCAATTTTGAAGGTCGGCCCGTCCAGGTGCCTTTCCTGGGGACTTCTTTGGGGCTCCAAGCGTCCAGGTTCTTCGTCGATTTGTGGGCCCACCCGGCGTTGCCTTGCGTGCCCGCCTGTGCCCGCTCGTGCCAGACTTTAGTAGCCTCGCGTTTTTCCAAATCGATCTCCTGGCCCAGAAGCCTTGAGATGCATTCTGAAACATCGTCCAGGGCGGCTCTTCCCAGGTCGGCGTCCAGGACCTTGGCGTTCGCATCCAAAGCAAGGAAATTCAAGCACTGGCGGGTAGTCTCTAGGCATTCGGAGAGAAAATTGGACTCGTTAAACTCGGTAGGTGGGCCTTCGAGGCATTCGATAATATCGCCAAGGTCGTTAGCGTCTATCTTCGCTAACTTGAAGTAGATCTGTTGCACGAGATTCCTAAGCCAGCGTAGGGGTCCAGCGTGGGACTTCCAGGCGGCTCGATGTTCTTTCAAAAACTGTTTCGCCGGGATCCGCTTTACCTTGGGAGGGCAAGCCCTAGGCCGAGAGGTCGTTTTCAAAACCGTGTCCGTCAATTCGGCAATCGCAACCTCGAGGTTTTTCCCCTTGGATTGGCGTGGCAGTCTCATTAATCGGGACCCCCCTCTGCGGCGTCGAGCGCTGCTTCCGCGGCTATCCACTCTCGCTCAGGGGGCTTGGGCCAAAACAACAGGCTTAGTGGGCGGGCGCTGCGGCTTGCAGAGAGATCAGGGGCTGTGCAATTCTCTCCCACCTCGATGCATATACTTACTGGGCGGTGCGGGGACAGAGGATATGATATGCTGTGTGTACTTGGGGCTCATGAAGTACATGTTGCAAACGTCCACTGTAGACAAAGTGGTCCAAACAACTTTGGGAGGCCTTGGTTCTGCACGTGTGGGAGGAGGGATGTGCGATCTGCATGCCGGCGCGCTGTGTGAACTCATGCTTGCTGAGCTTGGTCGGGCTCATGTTGAAGTCTCCTATTATGAATATGGGTTTCTGATACTCATTCTGTAAAATGGCGGTGGCCGCCAGCGCGCTCAAGTTAGTCTCATTCACAAACCAGTGCTGACCTGCATGTACACGGATGGAATTCCTATGATACCGAGCCCAGGCAGCTCTACACCTTGGGCGATGCTTAAGAAAACTCAAGTTTTCGGCCAGAGTCTCGATTATTCTTAACTTGTCAATGTAAATCCCAAGATTTTGATAGAAGTTCTGGGTTTTTATTCCAGTTCTGAGACTCTGAATTTCTTAACCCATGGTTTCTTAAGCATTTCGCAGGGTGTACTCTGGCACCGACAAGGCGTCCCTGCGGAAGAAAGTGTCCAGCTCCCGTTGGAATTCTCATGCCTTGGATCCCAAGGTCAAAACCATCCTTGATCAGAACAAAGTCTCCAGCTGACGGGGTGCCTGTAGAACAGAATGCGCCCGTCTCGAACAAGCTTCCCACCCATGACGCTCACATCACTGACTGGCGTGCGCGATAGACTGCGCGGTGCGCAGCTTGGTCTCCTGCGCGCAGATGACGTGGTCATGTGGCATGCTCAGAGAGGATGTACTCTTTGACCTGCGGCCAGCAGCTGCCGTTGATGGTAGTGATGCGGACGTTGCTGCCCACGCGTTGGGACCGCAGGACGTTCTGCGACATGTTGGGCAGCAGCAGTCTCCGCCGTGAGCAT